TGTTAGATGGAACAAGATTCTGAAGTGACAGAATGTTCTAAAGAAAGGAGTAAGATAAACTTGACAAAACTAGTGGGCAAGCTCTGGGGAACTGAAATTTAAAAACAAGCCTAGTGAAGAAGAGGAGGAGCATGGATTTAGTGCAATAAAAGCAGAACCACATGGCAACTAAATATACAAAATATGGTCATAAGATTGTCTAATGCTCAGGTTGCACTTGTTGCCGATAAGACAGTATGAGAACCGAATCCCTTTGGCAGTGGATAAAATTCAGCTTTTAGTTCATAACTAGAGTGATAATACAGTTAAAACTAAACAGGAAATGTCACTTCTCTGGAAATTGCACCTTTGAATAAAACACTTTTTTTTTTAAATCACGTTTTTAGCAATTTAGAAACTTGTATCACATTTCAGTTCTGCCCTGGCACAGTCGAGGCACACACCGAGAACCAGAAACATGGCTGCCTGAGAGATGCAGATTCAGTCTTTTTTCAAATGGCAGAGCTTATAACAGTGACTAACAGGGAGTCAAGATGGAGGCACTCCTGTTACAAGATACAGCTAAACACAGCGGTACAGATTTTTACATAAAATTGTATTTTTCAGACCTCCATGTCAACACTAGAATGGCATGCAGGATGAAAGATATAGAGCATTTAAGGTCATTAGAGGCCAAATGTACAAGACTCAGTTTCCTCACCAGAATGAAGAAGTACCAAGGCTGGGGAACACCGTAATCTCCTGGCATAACCGATTCCACATACCACCCAATGACAGAGTAAAGAAAACTATCAAATAGGAGCATCAGTAGGACCTGGCCTAAGGTGAAATTATCATCCACACTGACCGGGGTTAGGAGATTGGACCACTGAGCTCCGGTGCCTGTAAGGAATGCAAAAAAAACCTACAGTAAACCCACAGGGTAATAAGATAATACAAGAAAACAATTAATACAGAGACCCTCCTTAATTAATGTAAACAACTTGCATGCTATGCGTCTAAGTGATCGTCAATATGTATGCTCTAATTCCGAAGCATTATACGATCAGACTGACTGCAGGAAGTATACACACTAAACTGCACAGCAATAACGTGAAGATAAATTATGTGAAATTAACAGAAATGCGTTTCTGCAAAACAAGTGTATAAGACCTGAGGCTGCGATATATGTTAATACATCAGGATTCATAAAAGAATAGAGACAGAAGTACATTTTTCACAAGTGTAATATAATTTGAGTAAGCCCTAAAAGTGTGGAATAAATCTTACATCATCAAATCAAGTGAAATTTGAATTCAGTACTAAAGACATTGAAGGGTTGAACTTTCTTTTTTTTCACCTTATATTACTAAATAACTATCTATAAAAGACAAAAAAACAGTTATAAAGTTCAAAATATATATATTTTTTTCAAGTGACCTAAACTTTGGGGTAAGTTTTATACCTATTCATATTTACCACTTCTCATTCCAACTAACCTTTGCCTTCAAACATTCCGATAATCTGCGCCCCCATGGCCATGCCAACATTGGAAATGAGGCAAGACGCCAGCTTCTCGCTATGAGTTATTATGTCATATCGCGGAGAGATGAAGAAGTAAGGAATGTACAAGAAGAAGTAGAGGAACCCACCAGCGGCTGCTGCCATGTTTGCTGTTTTGGAAAAAAGACGTGATGAAGTAAACAAGACGATTAGGAATCAAACCTAATTCATCACCTGGCATTATGGAGCTCTCTGAGGTTATGTTTCAAGCTGAGCTAGGAAGACTGTAGAAGTTGGACATTTATCTCCTACATCTATCCTCTGTCCGTACTCCCATGTCTGATGTTCGCCTCCAAGACTTCTACAGGACTGCACCTATTCTGTGGAACTCCCTTCCCTTCTCCGTTAGAATTTCACCCAGTCTCCACTCCTTCAAAAAGTCTTTGAAAATACACTTCTTCAGGAAAGCATATCATTTAAACTGTTAGCGGGTTTTCATTTCCCCCCATGACTCCTCTCCTGCAACTGTCAAAAATAACCTAAGTTCTCAGTGAATACTTTTCTAGCAACCTATTTCATTACCCCTACTTATACCCTTTGTGTCACTATACCCCACTCCCTCTAGCATGAAAGCTCATGGAGCAGGGCCCTCAACCACTCTGTTCCTGTGCGTCCATTTGTCTGGTTATAAATACGTGTCTGTCAGTCCACCCATTGTACAGTGCTACGGAATTTGCTGGCGCTATATAAATAATAATAATAATAATAAGAAGAAGAAGAATCTCACCTCTGGAGAAGAAGCTGCTGACCATAAAGCTGAATGAGATGGTGGAGATGGCATAAACCATTAAATACACAAATACCAGGGTGGGATCACTTCTCGTGAGGACGGCTCCTTCGCTACTGACCTAAAATACACAATATTCCAAAAGGTTCTCAGAGCACTCATGTAACATAATGTGTGAATAACCAGGACAGGAGGGCTTAACCAAATTCAGGACATAGCTACTCCTCAAGTCAACATGTGACAACACCAAAAACAAATGTGAACAAGTCACCTGTGCTCTTATTTCCGTATGAAAGAATACTTTTTAATGTATTTATTTTGAGAGGATACTGACCTGGATGCAGAGCAGCAATGTGACAAAAAACACGGAGACAAAGAGGAGGAGGAAAAAATGTATGAACCAAGCCAGCGAATGAAGCCAGGAACTAAGTCCCATCACACGCATGTACTCCTGAAAAACAAAAACAAATAAAAAAAAAGAAGAGAAAAAACATGCCACGTACAGAATACATAATAACGATTTATAAAAACAGGAGCTGAATGGGCTTCTCATCACTAACCACTCATGATCCATGGACAAAGGAATAGGATAGAATTCCATTTTACCCGACAGGCGTTTGTGTATCGTAATTCGACTGAAAATGAACCCGGGGAACGGTAATTTTAAGTCATGGCCCCATTTTTCCAATATGGCAGTTTTGATCTAAAAGTTGTAATTTCCTTGCCACTTCTATGCCTACACCACTTCAGTGAATAAACTCTTACCAAACCTCCCCCACCACCTTAAAACGTGAAAATCAAGTTGAGACGCTTGTCACATTGTAATTAGGGAAGAGAAGGATCCCTCTATACAAATTGCAATAAAGTAAGCAAATAAATATAAATAATGTAAACATAAATTGTTACATTCTAACCATTTCGCACACCCAGGGACACTTACCTTCAGCTTTCGTTCCTTCTCCAGCACGAGGGCACGCACAATGCTCAGGGAGGTATAGGTGAAGCTAAGCATGACCAGCAGGGGTAGCTGGTTCTGAATGGCTAAGATAAACAGGTCGCTGACATACGGAGGGTAGGGAAAGCGCCGCATGGACACTTGGATCTTTTTCATGAGCTCCGAGCCGCTCTCATTAGCGTGGTGGAGGATGATGGCGCGATCCACAGCGTGCTGAACAGCTAGGAACCCCTCGCGCTGATACCCTAGAAATTGGGAGATCATAGATTAGACCTTTCAAAGGGCCACGGAGAAGTCATTTAAGAAAATTGTGATGAAGTCACAGTGATTGGTGGCACGCTCATCAGCTAATGGAACCTAAAATTGCCATTATAATAATTGCCATTATAATAATATCCCTACAGAGGGAGCTAATGTTTTTAATGCGTAACCGGTAACATATTACACAATAGCACACTCTTTGAAATTTGCAAAACCCTCTTCTATGACGTGTCTGTAACAAACCATATTATCCCAATGCAGCCTGGTAACCATGTATAATGGGGTTCAACACAGAAGACAAAAATGGCTTAAATAATCACAGGGCGCATTTCCCATACTCTCATTATAATGGAAAACCTGTACTTTTCATGTCTATGTTTTGATGTATATTTGTAGAAAAAATATGCCTTATACTGCATTGTTTGGATGATGGATTTCCTCTCGCTTGTCCCTTCTTCCTTCACTTTTTAGTTTTTTGCAGCCTGTAAAAGTAAAGTTGCAAGCAACTACCTTCCCATTGGAGAGAGACATTAAACGTTTTGCCATGTTGTCAAAAACCCCGTAACATCCTACAGGTGAATGCCATCCCATTCCTCATCTCAGATGCTCACAAACGTTTTCTCACCTGGGTTTCCTCCTGCAGCGTCATATGGCTCACGTGGTCCTGGCAGCTGAAATAGTGGGTAGAGGTAGCGTGTGTGCCAGTTCCGATCCACATTAGGGTTCAGCCCAGTCTGCTCGCTGAAGGGTGCATTACGCGGGCTGTACTTAAACCGTAATTTGTAACGGACCTGTAGCAGTGGCAGAGAAAAAGCAATCAAGTTCTGAAAAAACCCCTCCTGCACCCCAAAACCCTAGCCACATAGAGAATAGAGCCTTACAGAACAATGTGTGGAACACAATGTATCCACCAGTAACGTAACTAGTGTTTGTACTTCCAGAATTCCCACCCAGTCATTAGCAATACTGGACACCCTCTCCTGACAAACACGGTGAGACTGCTTTTTGTTTTTATAAGAAAATAATTCCCTTAATTTGTCCATTGATAATTAAAATTATATCATTTATAAGGCTTTATCACACTCCAGACTGGAGTTTCCCCACTTGTTGTTTACCGCTTTACACAGGTAAGGCGCGAAAAACATATGCATCCGAAGAAAGCTGACAAATAAACTAGAACTCTCACAAAGTCATGACAACATTTGCAACGCTATTCTTGGAAAAAGTAAAAACAAAGCATCACCTGGAAAAAAAAGGCTAACACAAGTTTCAGGTGACTTAATTTTTTATTAAAATCTGTAACTTCCTGAGAAGTGACTTATTAAAAAAAAAAAAAAAAAAAAAATATATATATATATAAAAAAATTTAAGTCATTTCTCTATTAACAGATGTTAATAAAAAATTATATATATATATATATATATATATATATATATATATATATATATATATATATATAATAGTTGGTTGCACTCACAGTCTTTCATAAAGTCTGGTTTTAATTAGGTCATATTAAAAAGGATTAACGTTTCAGTCCTTCTCCAGGATCCTGATGAAAGCCCTGGAGAAGGACTGAAACGTTGATCCTTTTTAATATGACCTAATAAAAACCAGACTTTATGGAAGACCGTGAGTGTAACTAACTTTATATTCTATTTGGATACACTACGCCCTGGTATGCATTATACTAAAGTAGTTCACTTGTAGCTACCCCAGAACATGATCTGTCCTCTAATGTGACAGGAGTAAAGGCTTGAAAGCTCAGTATTTATTCTCGCCTTGTAGTCACCTGAAGTGGAAGAGGATCCCAACTTTGGTTAAAATTGTTTTCGAAGACCAAACCGGCCAGAACTTTGCCCGAGTGGTTATCATGTTTGATGTACTGCTCAAAATCTTTTTCTGTGCGGAATCCACGAACTGCAAGGACAGAAATATATGGAGATGTTACCGGTAATGAGAAACATTTGTAGAACGTAATAACCTCATAGGAGACTGAATGGTGAGGGCTTTACTAATGTGTCCCGGAAAAAAGACAATTCCAGGGTATGTACAGTTAATATATATATATATGGAGAATCACGGTCTTGTTTGTTTTTTTTATTACACGTCCCTAGAGAATTATATTTAAAATACCTAAAATCAGGTGAAGAAAGAGGTGATATCAACAATACAGCAACTTTGGTGAAAACCATTTAATTGAGGTGGTGGTTCAGGGAAGTCAATAAGCCAGCCAGGCCTGTGAATAGGCAGAAATTATCTAGTGCAACCTCACTCAGTGATAAACCTTTTTCAAAAGAAGCAGAATAAAGAGAACTATTCCAGGAAGGCAGACATCAGTATTAGTGGTAATATTGGAGAAATTGATACAAATGGGAAGATACTGAATTATGAAGAAATGAGATACTGCAGGAAGTTCCTTATATATGTAACATTCTACAGGGCAGAACCTTTCAAGCAATGTCCATTGACTTGTGAAAGTGATACAAGTCCTGGCATACATAGTGGATTTAGTAACCAAGATGCACAAAAAAACATGTAGAAAGTTAGTATAGTGTGGATCTTACGTCTGAAGTTAATTTGCAGTTCTCTCCCAGCGGTTTCAGTGATGTTTCGCACAGCATCGCTGTGGGACGGCACGTAAGCCAGCTCCCAGGTTCCAGTTAAATGAAAATAGAACGGGATGGAGGGGAAATCCATTTCTTTGTACATGGTGGCATTGGGATGGGTTACTGACTGGACCCTGTGACGCAGAGCAATCAGGATGGCGGAAAAGAGGAGGGGTAGGGCTAGCTCGATCACAGTCACTAAGACCTGACGTTTCTGTGGAACGAGAAATAAAGAAATAATAAATTATACGTCACACCAGTCCATTTACAGAAATAAAATGCCTGCTAACCAAAAATACACTTGTTTCATAAAAATCACAAGAATAATACACACAAGCGTACAATACATTCACATACGACTAATTATTCTGATCACATAGCACCACCTCGCACAAAACATTCAGCGGTGCTGTACAATCGGAAAAAATAAAATAAAAAAATTTAAAAGATGATTATGTTAAGATAAACGGAAAAAAAAAAACACTCAGGCAAGCTTACAATGCAGAGCAAAATGGTAACTCTTGATTTGCAAAGTGAAAATTTTCAGGATTGTCTGGTAGACTTTGGACTACACTAACTTAGAAATTGATGTAATATAAGAGGAACACAACAAAAAACAAAAACAAAAAAAACACGCAAAAAAAAAAAAAAAAAAGAGCATTCTGTTTTTTGTACTGGTCTATACTGTTCACCCCAGCCTACAGGAGTCCTAACAGTGTAAGGTATTGCAATAGTTTACAGTACTCCAGCCAAGCTCACCTGTAGGATGTAATTCTTCCATAGGAGAAGTCCCAGCTGTCTGAACAGCACCATCTTGCGATTATAGAGGCTGATAATGGATCTACGACAACTGCAAGATACAATATATAATGAACAGCAATACTCCAATGATGAGAATAAGCCAGAGGGTTCCACCCTCTAACAGTAGCAACCAAAAAAGATGTGATCACGACTTGCTTCCATCTCGCACTTCTCTGAAGAAAAGAAGTGTGGGGCAGAACTATGTGTAGAATGCCCCATGCGGTGGCCCCTTCGCCCAAATGGAGTAATCGTCCTTTATGTGCACACATTGCGGGAACACTTAGAGTACTTAAGAACCCTGAAGGTTTATCTTTAAGTAAGTAAGTAGGACACTTGTGAATGGGGGAGGGAAAGCACAATGATGCCAGGGCGCTAATGTTACAAAATCTTCGTGAAGCAATGCTCAGTAAGAAGAAGCCACTTGACATTAGCTATTTTGTAGTCACTTAAGGTAAATTATTTTGTGAAAAGGTCAAGTCTAAAAATGAATGACAAAGAGTGTAGCAATGAGGAATTTTTATCCTTAGATCGAGTTGTAAAAATAAAATTATCAACATAATGCGTTTCTGCAGTATAGTCTTGATTATCATAATTCAAGGAACACTCCAAGCACCATAGCCTTATATAGTGGTTATAGTGTCAGGAATGCACCGGCACTATCTCAATGTAAGTAGTCAAACCATTTTAGTACAGTTTGACAAGCTACCTGGGTCCCATGTGGTCTTCAGCAAAACAAGCCAGTTGACTCTAAAGCAAGCATATCAAACTCGCGGCCTGCGGGTCGCATGCAGCCCACAATGAATATATTTGCGGCCCAGTGAGCCGCGAATTTGACATGTTAAGGCAGAGTAGGCACCTGCTCTCTCCACATTGCAGGTGCCTACTCTGCTAAAATTTACTAGGCTGGGAGGAGAGGTCGCTGGTGGCAGCGAGGGAGCTCACTCTGTTCTTCCTGCTCCCTTGCACGCGCCCTCTGTGGTGCCGGAATATGACATAATTCTGGCCCGGCATCACTAAACTGCGCTTGAGGGAGCAGTGTGGAGCAGGAAGGGAGATCCCAGGGAGAGAACCCACAGGTAGGGAACAATAAATAAAATGATGTGTGTGTGCAAGAATGTGTAAATGTGTCTGTCAGTGTGTGTGTCTGTCCGTCAGTTAGCGTGTGTCTGTCAGCGAGTGTGTGTGTGTCAGTCAGTGAGTGTCAGTCAGTGAGTGTCAGTCAGTGTGTGTCAGTCAGTGTGTGTCAGTCAGTGTGTGTGTTTCAGTCACTGTGTTTGTCGGTCAGTCCGTATGTGTCTGTCAGTGAGTGTCTTTGTGACAGTGAGTGAGTGTCTGTGTGTAAGTGAGTGTCTGTGTGTGAGTGAGTGTCTATGTGTCAGTGAGTGAGTGTGTGTCAGTGAGTGAGTGTGTGTCAGTGAGTGAGTGTGTGTCAGTGAGTGAGTGTGTGTCAGTGAGTGTGTGTGTGTCAGTGAGTGTGTGTGTGTCAGTGAGTGTGTGTGTGTCAGTGAGTGTGTGTGTGTTGGTCAATGTTGCGATGGCTACGGCTGTACAGTGGAGGACTTGGAGGTGCACAGAGTCACATTCCAAAGTAACTTCAACGTGCTCCACCTTCACAGGGTTTCAAGGAGTAGCGGGAGGATCCGCTTTGGCACAGGGTGCAGACGGTGCCATTGGGGGTATACCAGAGGCTGGACTCCGGAGTCGCATACTGTCAGTGGCAATGTGAGTGGAGTCTGCTTGTTGGCTAATATTGTTTTTGGGGGGGGCTGGGGTTTAGTATAGAGGGAGGACTGGGATTTAGTATAGGGGGGGGGGCTGGGGTTTAGTAGAGGAGGGTGTTGGGGTTTTTAAAGAGGGGGAAGCTGCTTTTTTTTGTTTTTTTAATACGCTGTACCCCCAATGGTGTATGTACTTTTCAAAATAAACCTACATTTCTATGAAAATTTAAGTTGTTGTTTTTTTGCGACCCACATAAACGTAAACCTTGTTTATTTGGCCCGTGCTAGCCTTTGAGCTTGACATGTTTGCTCTAAAGAATAAAGTATGGGTGATACAAGACCCCATTTATTGGCTAAGAGTGTCAGCCGAGTGTTCTCAGCCAATGACCACAGTCCTGCGTAGACCTGCATTGCTCTATAGAGCCAATCTGCATTCACTGCAGGACAACAGATGCAGTGAATGTACAGAACTCCAGTATGTTGTCATACCATACTAAAACGGACATTCCTAGCACCATAACCACGACTGAGAACTGTAGTAATTATAGAGCTTTTTGATCCAAAGAAAAATCTAATTGCCAAATGCAGCAAGATGGAATTTGTTCCCTTTTTGCCAAGCAACTGGAAATGTACTTCAGTTTTTTTTAAGTCTTCTTTTGAATCAACAGAAAAAAAAACACAAACCCCCCCCCAAAAAAAAACAACAGGGATGGTTGAAAGGCTGAACTTGATGGCTGGGCTCTTTCTACAACCTAAATTACTATATAGCTATATGTATTAAAACCAAAGGGAGGGAAAAAAAGGATATGAAAGATATAAAATGACTAAGGGACAGTTCAGACCTGCTACTTTTAAAGGAAGAATAAACTATTGTAATTAGCAGAATATTGAATTGAAAAAAACATTGAGATCAGATGTCTGACTTAAAAGATCACTATAGGGTCAGGAACACAAACATGTATTCCTGACCCTATAGTGTTAACACCACCATCTAGCCACCCTGGGCCCCTCATGCCTCCATAAATATAGTAAAAATCTTACTGTATTCAAGCCAGAAGCTGTAAATCTGCATGCTGTTAGACTCAGAAAAACAAGCAGTCTGCTGACATGTGGTAGCCTGATCCAATCACAGTGCTTCCCCATAGGATTGGCTGAGACTGACAAAGAGGCAGATCAGGGGCAGAACCAGCATGATTCAAACACAGCCCTGGTCAATCAGCATCTCCTCATAGAGATTAATTAAATCAATGAGGAAAGTTCAGTGTCTGCATGCAGAAGGAGGAGATACTGAATCACAGGATGCTGTACACAGTGCTGCCCTGTGCTCTGCTGACAGCAGATCTGAGTGGATGGAGGCATATCATGCCTCCATCAACTCCGAAGTCCCTCTGGTTCACTCTGAGAGAATGCAACTGGGGGTGTTTCTAGCTTTCAATGTAAACACTGTATTTTCTCAGATAATACAGT